GAGAGAGGGAACACAAGCAGGGGGAGTGGGAGAGGGAGAAGCAGGCTCCCTGCAGAGCAGGGAGCCCGATGCAGGACTTGATCCCAGGACCCAGGAATCATGACCTGAGCTGAAGGCAGTCGCTTAACCAACTGAGCCACCCAGGCGCCCTTTTTTTTTTTTTGAATGTAAAGATTTTCATATCTCAGGCAATAACTCATGACTTATACATATTTCTTTTTAAGATGACATAATTGTTTAATATATAATACTGAAGTCCTTCACAGACTTTGCCAACAACCTACTTTTAAATATAATACATAATTTGAATAACGATGGCATATCATTGGTTCACAAAAATTAGCATGGATTAGAAATCATGTGGAAGGTTTATTAAAACACAGACTACAGGGCAAACTCAACAGATCTGCAGAGAGGCCTGAGAATTTGCATTGCTACCAGGTTCCCAGATGATGTTGATGTATCGCCATCCAAATCTGTATGGTCCCGTGACCATACCTTGAAAGGACTGGTAGAAACTGAGTTGTTTATAAGAATTCTGAGAATTACTTCATCCAAATTTTAGGTCACTTGTAAAAAAATTATCTACCACATCCAAGTTAAAATAAAACTTTTCATTAGTTACTAATGCAGAATAGTTTTGTTTATATTATTAACTTTTTCAGTAATTAAATTTAGAATTCACAAGCACGCTGGCTGCCAAGAAGTCTCCCTGCACTTAATTTCATTTTGGCATAAAAATAATATTTTATGTGAAATAAAATAATATAAAAACCGCAGGCAGAAAAAAAAACCTGCAGGTGAATTTTTCTAACTATCCACACTTGAACTTGCATATACCGTTGTAATATTTTGATGCAAGATTCATTGGTTTATGAAAAGTCCTAAACACTCTGCCACCGAAGGTATTTCAGATTAAGTTCAGATCAGTGAACAAATCGCCAGTGAGTAGATGACAGGTAGACTTTTATTACAGCTTTTGGTTAAAAAATATTAAAATATTTCCTACTTTATTAAAACCAAGTTTCTTATCATTGTAAATATCTCAATATTTCAACATATTTATACTACTTATCGATGAAATCCAAACACATTTTTGATTCTCTGGTTTTGAACTGCTCAAATGTTATGTGCTTAATTTTGTGGAAAAAAGAACTGAACAATGACCAAAAAAAAAATTTTCGAAGTGTAAAATACCTTTCTATAGGATTGGATGCCTTAACAGTTTCATATAAATATCACAACCACTATATTCAATAAATTATCCCTTCATCCATATCACTTTTTATTAGCTGTATCAACTTGTATTCTATCTGATTTTCTCCTTGTATATGTGCAATCTATCTGATACAGATTCTAAATCAGAAAGTTAAAATACTTATTAAAGTCTTTTACATGGTCAAGAATTATATAAAATTTTTACTGGACTCAATTGAGATTTCTAATTATAAGCTCCTTATTTTTAGATTTTTGGTATTTTCAGTGGCACTGAAATTAATGTCCTAGCATGAGCAGCAGGACATCAAGAGCGCAATCAAGGCAGTAAAGGCAGGTGTCAGCCATGCCACCTCGGCAATCAGTCTCCTTGTTTCAGATAATCTCAGAGTTGCTCTCCCATCCTTACCCCATGCGTCTTTCTCCCATTGACCTCTATGTCTGACCTGTCCTGAGAATTTATAATCAAGAAATTATTATTGTCGCTTTCTGAAACTGGCATACTTACAATCAGGCGGCATCTTTTCCATAAATGTCATGTAATATTCTTTTAGAAGTTCAAAATTTTCCTGATTAATACTTTCCTGCAAAGAGACATCGCCAAACCTAAAAACAGAACAAAGAACACAATTAGGGGTTATAAAGCAGCTCCTGAAAGCAACACTTTTTACCTCTCCTTTTTAGGTAGATGGCAAGAGTTTCCTAAAGGAGTCTTTTTTTTAAGCTACGTTGCACAGTGGTTATTTAAACACATTCCAGTCTCCATGGGCCCTGTTCCCACCAATCCCTTTTCACACACCAAACTATTTTCACAATCTTCAAATGCAAACTGGATGAAAAACCAAATCTGTAACACCAGCTCCTGTGCTTACGCATAGTTGATATGTAGTTAATGTGAGTTTCCCCACCCCTGCAGGGTTGTTATTTCTACAGTGCAAAAAACCCTGCCTCTTCTTTTTCATTCCTCAAATCCTCTTCACCCGTGACAGCTGGAGGAGGGTCCAGAACATCAAAAGCGGACACTTGGTTGCATACAGTCTTGTGTCCACTGTCAGTTGCTGTAGGCACATGTAGACCCCTACAATCTCTAGAGAGTGGTTTACTTCTGTCAACACTTCTTTTTCTTTTTTTTTTTTTTAGAGAGGGAGGGAGAGAGAGAAAGAGACAGAAAGAGAGAGAGAGAGAGAGAGAGAGACAGGGGAGGGGCAGAGAGAGAAGGAGAGAGAGAATCTCAAGCAGGCTCCACACCCAGCATGGAGCCCAATGCGAGGTTCAATCTCATGCCCCTGAGGGTCATGACCTGAGCCAAAATCAAGAGTCAGACATTTAACCAACTGAGCCACCCAGGCATCCCCAACGTTTATTTTCTGTCCACACCATGAAGGCTGACAGCCTCTGTATTGGTGCTCTTCTGCCCCTTCACCACAAAACTCTCTACCTGTATATCACTGACCTTGTGTTTTCTTTAAGCATTTTCCAGATTTAAACTTACGGCCAAGTTGTGCCTCTATAAAAGGATCATATGTAAATGGCTTCCAATATGTATCGCCATCCAAATCTGTATTTCTAGATATCAGCTGAAAATTTCAGTGTGAATTATCCTACCCCATTTCAAATGCAACATAAGCCCAAACTGAAACCACCTCCTCCTTTTGTTTAGAATTAAACATGTCCCCAGTATTCTTCTATTAACTCAGGTTAAAATCTAGGCACTCTTTTGGATTTCTTCTCTTTTCGCCACCCCATTCACTATTCATTGATCTTTTCACTTTGTCTGGCAGACTTTCCTTCTTTTTCTTTAACACTGTCATTATATATTAGGCGTTTAATTATATCCACTCTAGACTGGATATAGAGCCTCCCAAATACCCCAGCACTGTGCCTTCAGTCTCCTTCCCTTCCAGTCTACCCTCTACACCATGGTCAGATCATTCATTCATTCAACAAATATTTTAACATTGACTATGTGCCAGGAGCTGCATGTGCAATAAATGAAATGTTGGAGAAGTGATTCTAATGCCTTTCTTCATATCAGCTTACTAAACTTCACTGCTTCTTCTCTCCCTGTAATGACAAAAGTCTAATCTCCTTAGTTTCACATCTAACTTCTCCACAAAGGCTTCCAAAAACACTTGTGGGAATGTAGTTACCCTCTTCTCCCTCACCAGCAGCATATTGATGCCTTTGGGACTTTCCACATGCTATCTTCCTTCTAACTAGAGTGTCTTATCTTCTTTGTCTGCCTGATCAATTCATCCTTCAGGCTTTATGAGAGGCTCATCTACTCCATGAAATCTCCCTGATGAATTCCTCTCCCATTTGTGAATCACTTCCTTTCCACCATTATTCCTGCCCCTTCCACATCTTTGCCTATTGCATGAGTCAAACTGTAATGTATTATTTGTTGATCTGGCTTCCTTATGGGATGGTAAGTTTTTTTTAGGACAGGGATCATGTCCATTCATCTTGTTACACTGCATGCTCCCTGTGTCCCACAGCTAGACAGAGTAGTGCCTGGTGCAAGGTCAGTGTTCAATATCTATACTGAGTTAAACTTGGAGAATAGGAATATAGACCCAGGAAAATCTACAGGACAGTTTCTCTAAACTCTGAAATATACTCTTAAGACTTTTTCAGAGATTATAATCAAAATATACTCTTAAGACTTTTTCAGAGATTATAATCAAAAGGTATTTTAAAAATATCATCCTTGCTGGAGTAATGTCATTGTTATGGACTAAATGTTTGTGTCCTCCCCCCTAAAATCACATTTTGAAGCGCCAACCTCCAGTGGCTGTGTTTGGAGATGGAGCCTCTAAGGAAGTAATTAAAGGTCATGAGAGTGGGGCCCTAATGCAGTAGGATTAGTGTGTCCTTGTAAAAAGAGACACCAGAGAGCTCACTCTCTCTGTGTACACAAAAAAGAAGTCAAGTGAGCACACAGAGAAAAACTCAGAGAGAGCTCTCACCAGAAACCAAATTGGCTAGAACTTTGACCTTGGAATTCTCAGCCTCTGGTACTATGAGCTATACATTTCTGTTGTTTAAGCCACCTAGTCTGAGGTATTTTGTTATGGTGACTCAGAGTAATTAGTACTTAATTAAGAATGGATACACATAACATACATTTTGGCAATGGGTAAATATGAAGTAAAATATTACAACTGGATTACATAGCATACCCAACTGATAGATGTTGCCTGATAAAGCTCAAAATTCAGAATCAGAGAAATAAGGTTCAGAGAACAGAGAGGAAGTGATTTACTCAGATCAGTAGTTGGCTGATATCACAGTGAGAGCCTTCCTGCTTCTCTTTGAATTTTTTTCCACTTTGCCATTTTGTCTCCTTTTCAAGTCTTAAGTGTTTTTACAGCTTCCAGATATGAAAAAAAGTATGTGCAGGCACACACAGACACACATAGATAAAATATGCCAGAGAGAGAAGAGAAATGGAAAGGAAGGGACCTTTTGTTTTTTATATTTATTTATTTATTCATTCATTTTTTTTTGAGAGAGAGAGTGCGAGTGGGGGGAGGGGCAGAAGGAGAGGGAGAGAGAGAGAGAAACTTAAGTAGGCTCCACGTTCAGCATGGAGCCTGACGCAGGGCTCAGTCCCACAACACTGAGATCATGACCTGAGCTGAAATCAAGAGTCAGACGCTTAACTGACTGAGCCACCCAGGCGCCCCATGGGAAGGGACTTTTTAAAATAAAGCGACTAACAACTGAAATAGTCACGATGACATAAATGATGCAATCTAACCTAGTTTAGAGGGCTTGAAAATACAATGGTAACTACAATGCTAACTTTTCCTTGAAAAGTCTGTAAATGGGGACTCTCATGTCTCTCTCAAGACCACACTCACAGGCCTTAACTTATTAATTCAAACCCAAAACACTCTGTAATCTAGTATATCAAATAAGAGACAATTAATTGAAAGTACTGTGCTGTTTTTTTTCCCTTCAAACTGAACAATTTATGTTCATAAATATCATTTACCTCAACCATTGGACTTGCTGTGAGGCACATATATTCAGATGACTGGACTACAATCTCACTTTAGGTACTGATGTGGAGAAGTGCTCAATTCTTGTACAACACAGTGAATAAAATTATATTCTGATTTATGCATACTATAAGAAAAGAGATTTATGGCTTCTACACAATTTGAAATTAAAAATGAAATATAAAGGTGCCACCTGATTTTGTAACTGACAAGTGAGAATTATGAAAACCTATGCTGTCCAGGAAATAAAGAGGGAGAGAAGGAAAAACCACTGGAAGAGAATGGATAAAAACAGGCACCTTGACCATCACTGAAATTCAGGAGGACATAAATGTAATGGCATTTTTAATTTAGTAAAAGACATCGGTACAGGTTTAACACATACTCATCAAGTCATGGCAAAGAATATGCTAGGCGCTTTTTAACTGATACCTCTGGGGGAAGGACACATTTGGAGAGTGAATTATGGACAAGAAGCATTTTAAATATGGAAGACTATCAAACTCTCCAAAAGTTCTTCCCATCGGGGAACTTCTCCAGCCAGGCCTCACGGCAGGATAGCAACTTCTTTCTCCAGAATCTCTTAAAAATGTATTTTATGAACTTTAAGTCTTATTCACTTTTTCAATAATCTCTACAACTGAACCATGTAAGATAGAAAAAAGTGTTTTTGACAGTAACTCACGGGACTGTGTACAATCGTCTGTTGTTTGACTAAGCAGGTTATTATGAAAAGATGTGCTAACCTCCCCCAGTAACAACTATTGTAGTAAACAAAAGGGAAAAATAACAGTGTTCTAGGTCCAGAAAAGTTTGACCCAATCGGCTGAGTTTACAATGCTGAAATACATATGAACGTAAACAATGCTATAATTGGATACACACACACGGTATTTGGAACCGTGAAGAAAGTTAAGTCATGTAAGTAATTTGGCATTGGCATCAATATTTTCCTTGTTCCTTTGCCGCGTTTAAATTTGATGTGGGCCAGGAATCCTGAAATAGGAATATTTCTCTTTGCCATCTCGAATGCTTGGTATGATAAAAAGGAAAATGTACCTATGAGTCCATCTGAGTTTCGTGTGCAGGAGCATAGGGAATTGCTCAGCATACCCATAACACCTGAAAAGAACAACTGAAGTACCAATTTTCTACCTGAAGCTTACCTCTCAGCAAGAGTTTGTTGTTCATTGATTCCAACATTAAAAAGTACTGGACACACATGGAGCAATTGTCCCTCTTTAATCTGCAAAGGCAGTGCCTCAAACATCCGAGCTGGAAGCTTCACTTCCACCACGTAATGTTCCCTGAGGGCAGCGGAGGACAAAGAGAAGAAGCTTATTTCATTCGTTGTTATGTTAGAGTCATCGGAAAGAAACAAACAGTTGGAATATAGAGCTGATTTAGGTTGTTGGCTGCTATTTGCTTATTTTCTGTTATGAATTCATTGGGGTATCATTTTGTTCACTTCACTATTAAATTACTTGGCATAAAGAACTATTTACAGTTTTAAAAATTTTTCTCCATTACTCTGAGTTCCTTTAGGAAAGGAAGAATGTTTAGTTCATTTGTATAGCAGGGGCCACGTGCATAAGAGACTCAATATTTATTTTCTTGATTTAATCATTTTTAAAACCCAGTCAGAATCAAGAGTAAGAAAAGTAATTTAATGATGGATTTTTCAATATAGGGACACTAACAAACCAAATCATTTAGGATACCTTTGAGCAGGGCCTGATTGTTACTATTTGATGAACCTCCCTGTTTGTGTTGGCTTGATGGAAATGGAATGGTTTCATTACTTAAGATATAACCTTTGGGGATTTCTGATCATTTTTGCAACATTAGCATATCACAGGAACAGCTTTTTTTCATTGGAAATTTCCATTAAAAATTACCCCTAATGTTCAGTGCTGAAAATTTGAGTTAGGATTCACAGAACATGGTCAACGAGAAGAGCTGCTTGTACATTTTTAAACTTGACATCTTTTTTTTTTTTTTTAAAGATTTTTTATTTTTTATTTGACAGATAGAGAGAGAGAGCACAAGCAGGGGGAGCGGCAGGCAGAGGGAGAGGGAGAAGCAGGCTCCTCGCTGAGCAGCGAGCCAGACATGGGGCTCGATCCCAGAACCCCAGGGTCATGACATCAGCCACAGGCAGCTGCTTAACTGACTGAGCCACCCCGGTGCCCCTAAACTTGACATCTTCTGATGCAGTGTGAACTGAGTATTGAAATGTAGAGAGTTTCACTCAGAATTTATGAAAATCCATGTGTTTCTGGAGCTATTACATATAGTGCTGGGATTGTAATACATGTTATTGGGAAAAGAAGCACTGGACAATTAGTGAGTCTCTTTGTAAAAATATTTTTTTTTTTTTAAAGATTTTATTTATTTATTTGACAGAGACAGCGAGAGCAGGAACACAAGCAGGGGGAGTGGGAGAGGGAGAAGCAGGCCTCCCGCCGAGCCGGGAGCCCGATGTGGGGACTCGATCCCGGGACCCTGGGATCATGACCTGAGCCGAAGGCAGTCGCTTAACCAACTGAGCCACCCAGGCGCCCCTCTTTGTAAAAATATTTTTAGTTTTCTAGTATAACCCTACTGACACGTACTACTCCGGATGACGGACTCAGATTTGTTTCTTACCTGAGCTTCGAACCAGAGAACTAGGAAATACCACGAATCCAGCAAGCAGGGCTGTTAGCACTACCCTCAGATGAAGGGACACATTATTTTTCTTTTTCAAATTGCTCTCAGTGCCCTTTACAAAAGCCGGGCTAACAGGGCTGATGTTTATTTATTTCAAGTCTTTCAAGAATATGAGAAGAATTAATGAATCTGTCCATGTGTAAAGGTTGCTCTGGAGGTGAAACATTTTATAATGTTTTACGGTAACTTTCTGTCAGCTTTATTAAAATAGAACTGGCATAAACTCAGGCATTTTAAGTGTATAATTCAGAGTTTTAGCAGATTTATAGAGTTGTGCAATCCTGACTATACTCCAGTTTCAGAACGCTTCCATCACCTTAAAAACAATCCCTCATACCTGTTTGCATTCACACCCCAATCCCACGGCCAGCCCCGGGAAACCACGGATCTATTTCCTGTCTCGGCAGATTTTACTTTTTTACCTATTTCACATAAACAGAATCCTATAAAAAGTAGGCTTATAGTGTGATGACTTTGGAGTCATTGTGTTGTGCATGTATTGGCAGTTTATTCCTTTTTATTCCTACTTATAGCATTCTGTTGTATAGACATACCACATTTTGCCTACGTCCTCGCAAGCTGATGGCTACTTGGCATACTTTGCAATTTGGACTATTACGAATAATGCCATCGACGCTCATACATTAGTTTTTCTGCGGACATATGATCTCATTTTCTCTTAGATATATATACCTAAGGGTCATATAGTACTTTCAGGTTTAACTTTTTAAGACACTGCTAAACTGTCTCCCAAGTGGCAGCACCACTCTACATGCCCACCAGCAATGTATGAGGGTTCTAGGTTTTCCACATCCTCGTGAACACTTGTTACTGTCTGACGTTTTGTTAATGACGATTTCCACTGTGAGCGAAGTGGTATCTAACAGTGGTTTTAATTTGCATTCTCCTGATGCCTAATGATGTTGACCATATTTCCATGGGCATATAAGCCACTCATATATCTTATCTGGCAAAATATCCATTCAAATGCTTTGCCCATTTTTAAATTAGGTTTTTGTCTCATAATTATTGAGTTGTAAGATTTCTTTATATATTCTGGATACAAGCCTTTTATCAGGTCAATGATTTGCATTTATTTTCCCAATCTGCAGCTTGTCTTTTCATTTACTTGATGATATTTTTGCTCCTTAAAAGTTTATAATTTTGATTAAATCCTATCTATGGAATTGTGTATCTTATGAATCTAGAATTTCGGGTCCTATCTAAGAAATCTTTCCCTAACCCAAATTACAAATATTTTCTCCTGTAAGTTTCATAGTTTTAGCTCTTACATTCAGACCAATGATCCATTGTGAGTTAGTTTTGTGTATGGCATAAATTGAAGTTCTAAATGACTTTTCCTGCATATGGATAACCAATTGTCACAGCGACAGTTTTTGAAAAGACTCTGCATTCTCCGTTGAATGACTTTGGCACCTTTGTCAAAAATCAATTGACCCTAAAGGTAATAGTTCACATCTGGGCTCTCAAGTCTGCTCCGTTGATCTATATGTGTATACTTATGCCAGTAACAGAAGGTCTCCATTATTGTGGTTTTATATTAAGTTTTGACATCAGAAAGTGTAAGTCTTCTTTTGTCCTTTTATAAAATTGTTTTTGGAATTCTGGGTCCTTTGCATTTCCATACAAATTTTAGGTTTAGCTTGCCAATTTCTGCACAAAAGACTACTGGGATTTAGCAAGCAATTGCTCTGAATCTATAGATTGGTTTGTGGAGAACTGCCATCTAAACAATATCAAGTACCCTAATCTGGGAACACAGACTCTCTTTCTGTTTATTGGATCTTATTAATTTCTCCAAGCACGATTTTGTGTGTTCTGTGTACAATTCTTAAGAGTACTTTGTTAAATCTGGTCTGATGTAATTATTCTTTTTGATGCTATTGTGAACGAAATTGTTATCTAAATCACCACTGTTTCCAACAACTTTTCAGGAGTGTGTTTTCTTCTGCTTTCCAATCCAAATCAAGTCAGCCCCCTCTGGAAGTGAAACTGCTGGTCTCTTCAGCCTGTCGTTACCCCAGTAAAACTGCGCTGACCAAGCTGGGTTTTAGGGGAGCAACTCTGGGCAGGAGTGCCATGGACACCATGTGCCTTAACCAATGTCCACTGGTTTTTCATTAATAAGTATTTGTAAGTTTGTGTGCACATTTGACTTATTTCCTTCGTCTCAAGATGGCTGTTTTTGGGAATTCTGTCCAATTGCAATGTTGCTGTTTGGAGAGAGGGTCTGCCAGACTCCTCACTTTGCCATATTCTGTGAGTTCTACTCACACCTGTTTTGTAACTTTTGAATTTAGAAACAGCCTGCAAACTCCCTCAGAAAAAGCATCTGTACTCTACTATACCAAATGGCCTGAGAAACTTCCTGTATCAATTATGATAGAAGTATCAGTTTCCCACTTTTGATAATCCCCACTTTTGATAATACAGAGTGGTACTATTTTCCAGGTGTGTATATGAGCAATTTTATTCTTTCTTCCAGTACATGGAAAATTAAGCACTAGCTCACAGATGAAATATTTAGTTTTATGAGGATATTTTTTTTGATTTATGAAATAGTCACCTTTCATTCAATCACGTTTCTCTGCGCATCCTTCATACAAAGTTTAAAATAACCATCGTATGTTTACTATACACAAGAAAGCAAGTTTAGTTTGAGCTTTTATCCTTACTTTCTTCTCCATCTCTCTCCAGCCTGAAAAGGGCTTTCTCTTTAGCACATTCATAGTTTTTCATTGTGATCTAAGAATGTTTCAAATTTCGTATGTCCTCATGCAGCATTTAAAAGCGCAAATGGCAGAATGGTTACAATTTGGTGGACTTCTGACTGAAATGATTTACCATAGGCTATAACTCTTCTGTTGGAGGTCTATTCTATGCACCATCATTTTTCTTAATTATTTCTGATATTTTGCCCATCATTCACTGACCTTCAAAGCTATTTATTTAAAACCATTCTCGGAAATTTCGGTCTGTGAGTGAATTGTCAAAAATAATTAAGAAAAATGGTGGTATGTGCCCCTGACACAGAAATAGATCTTTTCTAAAATGTTGCTGCTTTTAACAGAATTTAATATAAAGTCATTTCAAGAATTATGACACTATTAACCAAATGATTCCGGCAAAAGTAAAAACACCCAGAGCTTTGGACTAGATAGTAATAAAGAGAAAAATGTTCTTCTCATGCCTGCTGTTCTTTTGAATGCCTCATATTTCATGGGGGAGCATTACCATGCTCACCTCACTACCATACAAATATATAAACATTCATGAGCCTTCTAGGAGTTTTTCAAGATCTTTCCCTGTTATGTCACTTACATTCATTTCTCTACCAAATAGGGAAAAGAAAATTTTCCAACCCAAACCTTAATTTTCCTTGGCTCCTTCAGGAGTTAAGACAAATATCTAACAAAGCTTGGTCTCAAGGAAATGGGCGCCACTTACCGCCTTCCTGTTATAACTGGCAAGACATCATTGGATTTGGCTTCAATTATTTTAAATGCGACTTTCTTCAAATCTGAAATGCCAACAGCCATGTCCTCTAGCATTCCGATTTCATCACCTACACAAGGGAAAAGGAACATTGTTACAAACATACTATTTAAAGAAAATGTCATTTGGTACTACCTCTCCCTGCTGGGATTTGTTCTAGCATTTTAGTGAATGAGTTTCTGAATGCAGTGAATATATTCTAAACACTTTTCCTCAGAGGCTGAAGGTTTTCACCAGTGAAATAAGAACCATTTCAGTGGACTCCAGCAGTCCAAGTACCCTTGGAGGGAAAGAAGGATGTACACATTTGCTGGAAGGCTATAGAGAGGTGTTAACTCCTTTATGAAACAGAGTATCATGCAGCTCTCTTTCCATTGACAGGCGTGATATTTGATTTCTAGAAATAGAGATAGATCTACACTATCCAATAGAAAAATAATGCAGGTCACATAAATAATTTTAAATTTCCTGGTAGCCATATTTTTAAAAGAGTAAAATTTATAAAGGTGAAATCAATATTAATAATGTATTTTACTCTAATCCAATATACCCAAATATCATTTCAATTATAAATCAATGTAAAATTATTAATTTTTAATATAAAACTAGTTTTTACTAGTCTTTGAAATCTGGCGTGCATGTTTAGTACATACTGATTTGGACTAGTCACATTTCAAGTGCTCAATAGCCACACCAGGCTATGTATTAAATAGTGCAGTTCTAGACATTAGAGAGTTGGGACTTTAAAAATCCAGTCATTGAAACTATGCTGGCAGAGAGCCTTTTATATTAAAAAAGCCAGACGGCTGCTCAGGACTCCACTATTCATACTCCATGAAATAATCTATAATTCCATTTTCAAAACATAATGGGGGTAAGAATACAGTTACAAGGTGAATGAATGCAAAGAACTGAAAGTTACATTATTACTGTAATGCTTAGGTCATAAAGGTTTATTTTGCATTTTTATGTTTAATGGCAGAATCTATGGATCAAATATCCTTATGAATGAGAATATGATTTTAACATGTACTAAAGCAATACTCACTATATGTACTTAGTAGTCCTTCATATTGCACTATCAATCCCACTGTGTGAAGCTGCTGTAGGAAGCCAGGGTCATGCAAACTTGTGTGTAATTTGATGATAAAACCACAAACCAATCCAGCAAGCTCAAAAAAAAAAAAAAAAAGTCATTGAAAAAATTGACTGGAGTCAACAAACTTTAATTGAAAAATATTTAAGATTTTTGAGGCGTCATGGATTTAATTAAAATTTTTCAAGTATGTGAAACATCCACAAACTAGGAGGGACATGGGCAGTTTGGTTAAAATATTCCCTTTCCTTCTGTCTCCCTTCCTCCAGGCTTATGTCTCTAAAACCAGTTGTGGGTGTGGACGCAGAAGGGAGAAGAAAGGGCCCCAGGACAGCCACTTTGATGGAGACCAGCCTCGATGTCATGAGATAGGTTGGGTGAAGGCAATGGAGGTGGTCCTGTTAAATCTTGCCTTTAAGCATTACTGCCCTGTGAACTTATTTTATAGACAAACAAAACATACAGGAGATCATTATGAGGCCCAGCCCTGGGATTCATTAGGGAGCTGTATAAATGGGAGATTGCAAACGGATCCCTTTTGCCAGTCCCAGCTGCCACCTCTGTGCAAGGCAGCCACCCCTTTTCTCCCACGGTGCTCTGTGTGGAGACCCCAGGGCATAATATGATGACAGGATGGGCGGCCTTTTCTTCACTGACTCTCTGCACCATGAAACAGACGTACATTTCAGAGACTTGGCCACCTCTCTGCAGAAATAAATCCTTAAGATCTCATAAGCTGTTTCTGTTCAGCTCATAGCTATTATGGATAAGGAAAACTGATATCAAAACTTTAAGCAAAGAATCCCTTTAAAAATTAAACTACCAAAGGAAGACCTCTACCATCACCACGGATACACTTTAGCCACCCAGCCCCGTGCTGTGCTCCCAAGAGGCACCTACTGCTTGGCTGAAGACGATGTCCCTTCTGAGCGTCAGCATCAAGCACTGGGGCAAGCTGTATGCAAGTTCCTGAAGGAGCACGAATGTCAGGGACTGCTTGGCTCGGTTCACCACTTCTCCCATGCAGTCCTTCAGGGTAAGGATGAGGGGATATAGCTGTTCATACCAGTCCTCTGCAGGGAGGAAGGGGGTGTGAGAACAGTGGGATAGATGAAGGTCTTGGAGGATGGAGCAAGTTAATTCTTCTTAGTCAAGGTACAGACATAACTAAGGCTTTACAATGATTCGATTTGAAGAGCTCTGATCCACATCTCTCCTCTGAACTCCAGATGTCTGCAGCCAGCTGCCTGCTGGATCTCTCGGCTCGGTATACTTACCATACATACAGTAAAACTTTTCCTTGGCCTGCTCGCCTCCAGTCTGGAGACTGCCTGTGGCCTAGTGGACGGTGTCACCAAACTCTTCCCATGCTGGAAACCAGTTTTCCTGGACTTCTTCTACAGTTTGCACATTTGTTGGGACGTTGAATTAGTTCTACCATTATGGAACCCCCCAGACATTCACTGTCCCCTTGCCCTCTGCCTTCATCATTTCTCAATATTCTCTGAATCAGTTACTACCCCTCTCCTTCTAGTCACGCCCTACTTGAACCCTTTCTCAACAGTGTCCCTGGAGTCTCTGGAGGGGTCTTTCTAATCAGTTGAATTTCATCCCATCATTCACTCCCTCACTGCCCTACTTTAAACATTTTAAAAACACTAAAGCGTTCAGAATAAAGTCCAAAAGCATAAAACAGCCTCCATTACCTGAACTCTGCCTACTTATCCAGTCTCACCTCTCAGAACAATCCTCATTTGCAGTCTTGAGTCTCAGGTGAACTGAACAATGTGTATTTTCCCGTCCTGCTCCCACCCACCCCTACCACCTCGTTTATTGAAGTTTGGGTTACTTACTTTTGTGCCCACAGTTCCTTGTTCTTACTGTTCTAGAACTGTCCACACACTATTTGCTCTGCAAGAAAGGGAGCTCACTGACAGCAGGGAATTTATGTTTTAATCCTTGAGCCTAGCATAGAGTCTAACATTTAACAGATATTCAGTTTTAATTGAATGAGTAAAGTTACACTAAGTATAACAAAAGTTTTTGTTTTTTATTTATTTTTATTTTTTTAAAAGATTTTATTTATTTGAGAGTGACTTACACAGAGGGAGAGAGAGAGAACACAAGCAGGGGAAGCGGCAGGCAGAGGGAGAAGCAGGCTCCTCACTGAGCAGGGAGCCTGATATGGGGCTCCATCCCAGGACCCTGGGATCATGACCTGAGCCGAAGGCAAGACGCTTAACTAACTGAGCCACCCAGGCATCCCATAACAAAAGTTTTTAAAGATATAGACAAGTATGAAAAAATCAAGTTTTTGACAATTCAAATAGGCTTTCTTCAAATCAGGATACAAAAGAAACCATCTGTGTTTTTTGTATGTCTAGATACCTGACTTGTTTCAATTACATAATCATGATGTTGGCATATGATATGGAAAAAAGTTATATTTTATTGGAAATCAAGACCCTGAAAAATGTCAAATACTATACATTCCAGACTGTGTGACATTCCATTAACATATAAATAAATAAATAGTAGTATGACAAAGGAATTTAATAGAAATGAAAGTATGTTGGAAATTATAATTCAGGATCTGAAATGATATGATCTTCTCAGCACAAAAGTGTAAGCTTCACTGTGAATGATGTAAATGGCCAATAACCAGTTCAGACCTTGGAAGAGTTATAGGGAATGATAAAAAAAATCATAATCACTATTGTACCGTATCTACCGTCACATAGTTATTTTATGTTGTGTTGTAATAGACTAAATGAAATAAACCAAAATGGTTGAAAGAATTAATGACCCCAACTTAATAAAAAAATGTGCTCTTGTTAATACTTTATGTAAATGCTTATGTGATTCAACAATGCAAAATACATTAGGAACATTATGAGTTATTATTTTAAAATATTGTAGAATTACGTGTTACCATAGGAATAAAAAAAACTCTAGAGAAAGGGGAATACGACGAAGGCCTATTAAATCTGTAATCATTTAATGAAGGACTCACTTGTGGGCAGCCTAGGATGAAATTTAAACAATGGTTCAATTTAAACAAGCATTGACTAATTATTAATTTTTATGTCATTAGTATATGTAAAACGGCATATGAAGGTACATCAGACTTATTTTCAGAATAAAAGACACATCAGTAGACATCTAAAAGGAATGTTCTTTATTCCTATTTTTTTCATATTTACATTCTTCTAGCTCCCATTCTCTCCCACTCTATTATTCCCTATATGAATGTTTACATGCATATATTGATTCACTGACACATACATATATACACCAGGAAAACAAATATTTCAATAAATTGACCCAGATTTACATCTTAGAAGAGAACAGACTGCAAAATGATTTTGTTCTGTGCTTAGATCTGTAGAGATCAGCTTCTATTCAGAGACTTGGCCACCTCTCTGCAGAAATAAATCCTCAAGATCTCATAAGCTGTTTCCGTTCAGCTCATATTTATTATGGATAAATAAAATAAAGCTTGTGTGCAGTAGGTGGCGCTGCCTTATTGGGCTGAATTAGAGCTAGGTTGTCACTATTCCATTCAAGTACCTGATCTATATGGTTTTACACATAGTGTGTGCAGGTTGTTTAGGCACCTTGCATCATACTCTCTGTGTCAAGAGATCAGTAACTTGGTCAAGGGTGTGATATGCTCTTCCTAATTAGAAAGTGGAAAATTAACTTAAGGGTACACTTACTTCTCTTGAAAGACACTCAGTGACAGCTAAAATTTAATATAGCTCTTGGTTTTTCTTGAAGATCTTTCTTTGCACATTTCTTCATTGGCACCAGGATAATTTCCTTACTCACTTCCAAACCTATTCTCACACTTACTTAACCAGTTGATTCTTACTCATAAATTGCAATCAGATCAAAAAAGGGAGTCTGATTTCTAGTCTTAATAGAATAAAGCTGAAAGCCTGGAAAAAAAATACACTGATATTTTAAACCTAGGAGCATTGTTAGCTGCTTGCCTAATGCTAACAGCATTCCAGTGTCACCATTTACTATAATTATATATACTTTTTATGGCTAAAATTTAAGGCAGATGGCAGTATAATAAAACATTAATTCTAAACAAGAAAAATACAAGTTTGTGAGTGAGGTAGAGTGCCTTAAATATAGTAGGAAGCTTCCTATAGAAAAGTATAAGTGAGAAAGGTAACATTACATTTTTTTTCTGGCCAAGAAACAATTTAAGTTCAGCAGATACAGAAAAAACTGCACTGGCAAATGCAAATTGCAATGACTACAGGTTCTGGTCCCTGTTAATATTCACTCACTGTAAATCTCAGGTTCTCAAATAAACACAATGGTGTATGACAGGCCAAAGAAAGGCTGGAGTCAGTTCATAAATGGCCTTTTTGCTTCAGTGAGCATTCCAAATCATTCTCACAAAGGAACAGCAAATGCTTTAGTTTTCTCCTCAAAAATATTTTTGGGAAAAGAAAAAAAAGTTACAGCTCTTGACAGTCTTAAGACCATTGTCACTTCCCCCTCACCTTCCTGCCTCTCCCTACTTCACAATTTCCACTTTGTTCTCATGATAAAGCACATTTTCTGGCAGGGATGAAGCGGTGTTCATTCCAGGCTATCTGGTCAAAATAAGAAGTCCTGAAATGCACACATCCACTCTTCTGAGTTTAATTTCTTCAAATTTCAACTACGATTTTATACAACACACACACACACACACCCCCCCAGTGAAGCTAGGTGGCTAGGGGTTCACCACTATATAGTCACTGCACCAACACTTCTCTGGGAGCTAATCTGCTCAGCAGACACTTAAGTGCCCACATCCTCGATTCTATCCCTCTGGGATAGAGGGAAATATAAAGAGAATGTTTTAGTGTCTCTATAAAAACTTGCTGAAACCCCTTAACCCTGAGACCAAACAAGCAGAGTCTTTCCTCAGGAAAACATAAAATGCATGTGGCTTAGCTGAGCTTTTCCTGAGCTTTGTGAAGTGTGCTGGAAGCCATCCAAGCAGAGCCTGTTTTCCAGTCTTTTACTTGCTTCTATAATATATTCAAGTGACACTCACTGAAGGATTCAAAGAACGACTGCCAGGTGCCCCCTCACCCCCTCCATACGCCATCTATTTCCTGTACAGGATGTTCACGTCCTCTGAGCTCAATGGCTCTTATGTTACTCAGGAGGAAAATAAAAAAGCCAAATACCAACCAACTGCAGCAGAGCAGAATGCCTTCTTTCCAATTTCTGAGCCATTTTCGTCTCAGGTGTTTGGTCTTCTTTGCTCACTTAAAATAATTAACTCCACACAAGCTTGTAGCCATTGTTATTTTTATTATCACAACTTTTCAGACACAGAAGAAAAGCTAAAAGATTGTATACCCATTAAACTTTATGCACAGAGATGAGAAGAAATGAGCCCAGCTTTTAGGATTCACCTCAGTGAAGAAGATGCTCAACTGTGAAGCTAAACAATTAGAATGGCCTCTAAGGAGGGCAATAAAATCCCCAAGGTTGTCAGAACGGAGACCAAACGCACAGCCAACAGGGCTTTGATACTGTGCTCAAACCTCAGGTCCCACAGAACTGGCGATGGGTTTGCAGTTGGGGGCTGACAGTGGCAGATTTTGCTATCCCTGCTCAGAGTCCTTTGTTGCTTTGATGGACCTATATCCTACATCAGCCCACATACTTCTATCTGGGTGCCCCTCTGAGTGAAGGCCCTGTCCTTCAGACACAATTCTACAATCTGAACATCATAACTTGGAGGGGTCACTCAATGATAAGGCTTCCCCTCCACATACTTCATAGCTAAACTCCTTTGTATGAGTATAATACATGCGGCCGACTTTGGTCATAGATTCTGGACACCTGCCCACTGCCTCCAAATATCTGGACATACTCCAGCATATAGGCTAATAAGATAATAGAAGAATAATCAGGGAAAGAAAAGTACCCACTGAGGCCTGGCTGCCTAGAATGTCTTCCCCAGCTACTCAAAATGCCCTCTGAGCCTTCCTAACTCCTTGGCCATCTTTATCATCCATCTCTTGGCTCTGGTCCAGGAATCAAAAAATCA